CCGACGGAGCAATCGTTTGCAAACGACAAGCAAACGAATGTAAAAAAAGAATATTCGATTTTTTAATATTCGGGGGCTAGCGTGAAGTTGCCCCCCCCAAAATTTAAATTTCGTGTAACTTTTGAACTAAGGGTGAGCAAAAAAAAATTCGGACGGAGCAAACGTGAGCAAATGATGAGCAAACAAATGCAAAAAAAAATATTCGATTTCACTATTCGAAAACACGAACTGAACGAATCCAGCACACCCGGTGAGCTCGGGCGCCATGTGTCTTCCTCTGGTCAGGTTGATGTTCAAATGAAACATCACCTGGCAGAAGGTGTACGAAGATTTTCTCCTCTAACATAAAACAAAAAAAAATGAAGCAACATGTACCATGGTAACATTAGCGTTCGATAAAAAATAATTGTATTATAAAATTTTTTATAGTATTTAACTAAAGAATTCCATCCGCCATATTGATTCAACTACTTTGAATTTTCAAATTTTCAAACGGCCATAACGATTCGATCATTTTTCTTATTCAATCATTTTGAATCCAGATTCGTAATATTATATTTCATAATGTCTAAAAAGGAGAGTAAAATGGAGGAGCGCGCGCGTAGCGCGCGCAAGGAATGTACTAGTATAAGAAAAAAAAGGAAATTAAAAAAAATACTGTTTTAAATAAAAGCGTAAAAGAAGTTTCGTAATTAAAAAACACAATGCTTGATCTAGTACATTGCGCGTTTAACATGTTATAAAATTAAATGATATCGCATGAAAGTAAAAACTTATGGCACCGTCCGAATTTTTGCAACACACTCATAATAATTGTCTTATTTACGCGAAATACCTACGATCGTAAATGCCATAACATAGCTCAATAAAATCCAACGGCGTTACGGAAGTCGACGGACATTTCCAAGTTTACGTAAATGCAATTGCAATTTTACGCTTGGAGGTCAATCGACCTGCAGCTTCAAGGTTTATAGCATTTGTACGCTAGAAAGCGTTTCGCAACGAAATAGAGGAATTTTTGTTGTTGAATATAAAATATCTGTCTTAATATTGATTTATACTGACTACACTGTTCGGTAAAAAATCAACTATTTTCTCTCTCCAAAGTGTGATTATTTTAAAGATTTTTTTTCGCGCTAAACACGATATCGTATGAAATGGACCGACAACCAATTTAATGTACCTCGATTTTTACTAAAAATCCTGACACGTTACACAAACTCTAACGACGGCATCGTGTTGAGTGTGAAAAAGTTTTCAGAGTATATATTATTATATTTCAGAGAAGAAAAGTAGTTTTTTGTTAAATTATGTAATAATTATACAAAAAGTCTAAAATTTAAACAATCATAATTTGATGAAAATAAGTCGCACAATCGTGAACTAAAATTCATTTGAAAGCTCTCAATTAAAGAGCTTTTAGATACCGTTTATTAAGAAACAAACTTTTATTCTGTTGTAAAAACAATGTTAAAAATGATCATTTTTTATTTATTTTACTTTAATTTATTCAAAATTGTAATGTGCTACACAAATCTATCAATCGTGTTCAACGCAAAAAAATGTCCGAAATATGTACTATGACACTTCGGAAAAAATTTGAGAGTTGAATTTAAAAAAGAATCGATTTTATTAACATCAGTGCCCGTTTCATTTAAATTCTTTACCTATTCCTTCAACTATTGTATTTGCGGTAACATAATAAGAGATATATATTGGGAATATATAAAAAGTACACTCCACTGAAGAAAATTTCTATTTTACACGTACAATTCAACTGATAAAACGCACGTAAATTCTTATTCGATTATGTTTGCGTCAGAGGCACCAATTCTGTCGGTCGAACGAATTTAATCTGCTAAAGTTCGACATACGATACTGAACGTGGGCGTGACGCTCGTATCCAGTAACATCATGGGGTGAAAATGTGTATGCGCTGTTAATCATAGGTATTCCTCTATCTGCATTTGAAGTCACAACCTGATACTAGGAATATATCACGATTCGCTCTAGACATTCATGTCGACCAATTGTCAACTTACTTTAATAAGTACGAACATAATTTCGATTAACAAAGGATCTCCACGTTGCAAAAAGGAATGAAATATACATGTAGCGCACAATATACCACAGTGAAAAGTAAAAAATAAGTGGAAAATACAGAATATACAAAATCACAATCGGAAAATAGCTGTTATTTTGTAATAAATAGACAGAAATGGAGAGAGAGAGAGAGAGAGAGAGAGAGAGAGAGAGAGAGAGAGAGATGAAATACTATACTTACTAGAAGAAACCCGTAATTTTTATTAGAACAAAAGCATATATACACGAAAAATAAAGTTTTTTTACGTCAGTTAAATCAAAGATGTGCGAAATTGATCAAATAATAAATATTCCGATAAATTTCATACTAAATTCCAAGACTTACTTGCGAATATCCATAAACTTTGATGATCTTTTCGTCGGGGTCATGCTCAATTCTTCCACCGCCTACGCAAGTCGCTTGTAGACCAGCATGTTTCTTGATTTGTTCATCTACTTCGTCGAATATATCAGCTAAAACAGAAATAAAATAATGTACATGATAATGGAATTCGACATAATTTTAGGGCTTATACGAACCCATCAGTTGGATGGAATTACAAAGTAGAGTGCGTAAGTATCTTAGCATTAATTCAATTTGTGACGTTAATATTTTAGCTGCGATTCCGTTTCCAGTTTAACAAACCAAATCGGCGCGTAATTTATAAAACTAAAAAATATAGCATATGAATGTTATTAAGTATCAAGATCCGCTTTAACCGAAAATAGGATTCTGTCTCTTATTTGATTTGTACTGAACTATTTATTTATTTTTTTACAGTTAACGTGTTGATTGTATTATCAAAATTTTTTTAAGTATTTGTAAAAAATAAAGTTATATAATATAAAATTTTGAATCAAATAAATAACTAAATAACAATGTAAAATAAAAAAATTTGCAATTTTTTTTTAACACACTATCATGGATATTAGGCTCATTTAATAATATTACATAATATTTTATTATTACATGCTTGCAATAATAAAAATCTCACTATGACAATAAAACATGACATATAATATAAAACTCGTTAGACAAATCACGTGTTAAACGTAAGGTTTATTAGTTTTTAAAAAAGATTCTTTAAAAATATCTAATATATCACCGTAAAAAGAAATAATTTTAATATTAGCAGAAACCGCTAAATCTTAGAGGATTTTATTCTTATATACGGCCTCAAGAGGAATCTTCTGAAATCAAGAGGAAAATATGCTAAGCACAATATTCTTACAGTTAGAGTACTTTCGTTTTGCATCTACAGTAAAAATCTTAACAATATTTTTATTTCAGACCGTATATGTGAGAAACACAATCAATACTAAAAATTTAAACGCCTATTACGGTCGAAGCTGGATCTTTGTTGCTTTAAATAATGCAATCTTGAATTATTAATATATACTATATATGTACTTGCATATATACCATATTGTAGTCTTTTTCCAACTGCGCGCCGAATTATTTTTCCGGACTAAATAAACACAATTAAAACTACTCTAGTAATCGCGAATTAAATTGGCAAGCAATTTAATAATTTGATGCTACCATCAAGCATTATAAAGATGTTAATATATTAAAACTGTTAATAAATTTATTAAACAGTTAGTAAAAATCTTGTTGTTCCTCTAATATAATTTACTTGTAAGAGGGCACTCCACTTTCAGTAAATATATTCCTCGTTATACAAGAGGAAAACTGTTAGAATAATCTCCAATACATTTTTGATGAATAGTCCAGTGCATTGCAAGAGGAATATACTCTGTCTGTAAAAGTTTCTGCTTAGAATATAAGGTTACCGGAAATTTCACTTTACAATTAGATTATCTTTTTTTTGGGTGATTATATAATATAATTTTTCTCAAATAGTAACTTGCATAGCTTAACAGGAAGATATGTTTAAACAATGAACTTTTTTAATTCGAATATAGGCAACAAAGCTATTAATAAGATTTGACGAACACAGAATGAATCACGCTGAAGATAAATAAAATCGCGATCGTCCTATATCCTATATATATATACATATATCAATATGTTGTTATTGCTCCATTTCGAAGGAAGACGACAGCTATAATTTCCGCTTTTTTCCATCACTTTCCTCTCTCTATCTCCCCCCCCCCCTCTCTCTCTCTTTCTCTCTCTCAAAGATTGCAGAAACTCGTGGCTGATACAAAGTACCGATCGCGTATAAATAGCTACTCTGAGGAACGAAATCTAATCGTGATTCCAATTCCAAGAAAAAGAAGTGCGACTTCTGTCTCGTTTGGATGGTCCTCATTCGATCAATATCATCACAAATTGCACGTCCCTCGGCAAACAACATAGGAGCGCTTCTCGTCTGAAACGCGATACGAATCCACAACAAAAATTCGCACGCGACTATATATAGGTAAGTGTCGGTCAATCAAGCACCATTGTGTGTCACCAATGTGTCCACCAGTGTCCACGAAAAAGTTAAAAGGAAGGACTTAGTATCGATTTGCGGAAAAATTGAGAGAGGCACATACGTGTTTGTGCATATATGACATATGCCACGTGAAAGAAACATTCTTTGAAACGCGCGCTGTAATGCTATATATGTATTATAACACGCCAAAGTACATTTCACGTGCGCGACATGAAACAGACGATAAAGGAAGGATTTTCCCGATAAAAAAAAAGCCGAATCAGAGCATCACGCAAAACATATAAAAAACTCATCGTTGCATGACGGTCGTACGCGTAGCACGAGAATTTCTATTAAATTTGTTGACACATGCTAGCTCACTCTACCTCACGCGTATTTCAAGATCTTCGTAGATGTCCTACTTTGAAAACGTAAAATTCCTATTATTTTTCAATTTTATATTAAATATAATATCAAAAAAATAATTAGGAACAATATAAAATTTATATATTGAATACAAAATTTATATATGAGATTTACATATCTAATATAAAATTATATAAATATATAAAATGTCATATATTAAATACACATAAAAATTATATAAATTTATATATACATATTATATTTAATATATTTAATAAATTTCTTATTATTTTTTAATGTCACTTTTTACCTCGATGCAGAATAAATGCTTCAGAAATTTAATTATTGCAGAAGACACATAAATAACGAAATTGAAAAGTATTTTTCATTCCCTATAAAAAATTATGAAAATGTGCAGAATACATTTTAAGAATTGTGGATTCGAGAAATTGGAAACTTTTCAGAAATGACTTCTGAACTTTATTTTCTCTTTAAAGAACTTGACTTTCTCAAGGATATAGTACTAATTCAAATTCAATGTTATATTGCAAAGAATTTAACGAGATCACAATATGCATAACTTTCTATATTTTTACTTTGTTCCATAAATATTTCTTTCCTCTTATTCGTTTACTTTGATAAATGGAGAATCTTCGCGTTTCTCCGTTACTCGAATGAACACGTTTCGCAACAAGTAATGCACTTACTGATTGGATCACGTTGTTGCCTGTGAAGACAAATAGTATTACGGATAAGATATTCTATACAAAACCTATAAAAAGATCTCGCGTTTCTACGAAAAAAGAAATTCTTAATTTTCAACTTACAAAATCTATTATATAAGTGAAAGTAAAAACTATACGATCCATATATGATCCCCTTTTCCTACAAACATAACTGACAAAGTAAAATAAATAACATTTTAATAAGCGCACAATTATTTTACTGTTTAGTAACATTTGCGATAGAAAATGTATTTAAAAAAATCTTATTTTATATAATAATCAATTATAATCAAATATAATTTTCCTAATTATTACGTAATTATTAAATAACTATACCAATTGTGTTGTTAAAAATATTTTAATCATGTTTGTTTCCTAAATAAATAAATTAATCATTGAGATCTATATTCGTTAAATCAGAGTTTAGTGCAGGATATAATATTACAATAAAATTGTAAATATATATATATATATATATTTTTTAATCTATATCTAATAATAAATAAAAAATTACGAATAATAAAATATAAATAAAAAGGACAAAAATTTCTTCTCTTATTTATTATTAACATCAGCTGCGATAAATAAAAATTAAATGGATGAATTAAAAATTAAAATAACGTAAAATAACCTTAATTGTTAATTATTCAGAAAACCATCACGAATCATTAACGGTTCTCCACAATGTGGTCTTTGTTGAAACAAAGGCGAGAATCGTGTTTCTACTGAACGAAAAAAAGAGGGATAAGAAAAGGTCGTCGGAACACAGGAAGGATCAGAACAGAGTTTCATCCCCATTTCAATGTTCAGCCTTTAACTTCCACAAAAGCACATATATTTTGTTATTCTGGATGTGTTGTCCATTAAGAGTCCTCCCTATCTTCCCCTTCAGTAAACGATAATCCAGGGCAAAATATAAAAAGGAAAAGACATACGCAGGGGAGTTTACTCAAAACATGCGTAAAGGTGAGAGATAATAAGAAAAATAGTTGGAAACCAACGTGCGGAAATCAGCACAAATAGAGAAACATCTTTGAACATAAACGGAAAATGATTTATTTTACAAGAGACGGATCGCCAAACTGATTACTGTGGCGCTAAGGAAAATATATTGATTGTTATATCGCACAATATAAGACTCGCAAAATAGAGACATGTCATTACTAGATGATCTGAATTATTATCTATATATATAGAAATGTTACTTATATCTCCATAAATATTACAGAAATAGCGAGTCATAAGTAACAAAGGTCGACATAATAAGCAGGATAATCATATAATATAATACATTACTTAATAACATTTCAAAAAACGAAGTATAAGAATGACAATTTATTCCATACATGTATTCGTAATAAACATTTTAATAATGAGACAGTGACCCAAAAGTTTAATAAATTAATTTGGAACTTATGTATTCTATATAAAGTACCTACTTTTTAGTCACATCACACAATAAATAATTAAATAAAAACTCAGTATATTTAGTCATAAAAAATTTGCTGATTATTTATATATTTTATATTTTGCTTCATCATCGAAGAGATTCAAAAAAGTATCATCCTTATCAATTTATTCAAATCTATTTTATATATAAAACGAAACTTATAAATTATGAATTTGCGCAACTTTTACTTCAAAATCTGCATACCATATTTGAAATAATTCTTGTAAAAATTCTGCAAAGCATTTTAGAATCAATGAATTATTTTAAAATCATTCAATGTATCAATGAATTATTTTAAAATTAATCCATTTTAGTATAGATTAATTTCAATAAATAATTCAAGTTAATTAAGCAGATTATATCAATATCAAAACTTCTTATCGTTATTTGATGTCCGCTTTCATCTATTAGCTGTTAGCGATGTCGAGAAGTTTGACAAGTTTATACGAGACTTGTCAAGAAAGATGCAAGTGCATGGATCGACAAAACCAACCCTGCGGTTAAATGACGTCCATAAATTTCTTGTTGAACTGTCATTTTCACGATGGC